ATTGGTCATTTGAATATCTGCTTTGATGCAGGGCCTGTTCAAGTCTTTTCCTACTTTACTATTGGGTTATCATTGACTTATAGGAGTTCTTTATGTATGCAGGATCGGCGTCCTCTTCAGATATCTGTATTACATAGATCTTCTCCCACTCTGTGGACTTGTTTTTCCATTTTCTTACTGGGATCACTTTTGAGGATGAACGAGCATGAACTCTAATGGAGAGTATGATTCAGGCAAGTTAGAAGATGACCAAGAATAAGCTTCACTGTGTGGCCTTGGGAGTCAACGGATCTCTCTGAATAGTACTGGGCCTGAGTTTGCTGGGCCTGTAAATGAGGTTCACTTTGATCATCCCCCTGGCTCTTCAGTTCTGAAATCTCATCCTCCTGTGGCCTGGGAATGTTGACCTGAGATGGTACATTCCACCAAGAGAGGAACAGGGGTGGGCGGGAAGGGGTTAGTGGGCTGTAATGAGAGGCAAGGGTGAATTAAGAGGGCAAGCTTTGGGGTGAGACAGAGCAGAGAGACCTTGAGCAAACCATTTGGCCTTGCAGAGCCATTTTCCGGTGAGGGTCACAAGGCTTCCCTCCTAGTTTTCAAGTTCATTTTATTCATTCACACAGACATTTATTGTGTACATCAGGCACTGTTGTGGTGACCATGGTTGAGGACCCCTGGTCTAAGAACATCTCTGATACAAAATAACCTATTTATTTAGTAGCAGGCAACTCTTGAACTCAGGGTTATGAGTTCGAGCCCCCACACTAATGTAGAGATAAGTTAAAAATAAAATCTTTATATAAAAAAAAAAGATGAGTATTGAAATTGAGCAAGTATCCATTAGACCTTATCTGAAACTAAAGTGAGGTGACCTAGGGCTGACCTGGGATTAGCAGTGGAAGAGGAGAGCACCAGAATTGGTGAGTGGGAAGGAGTCAGGCAAAAAGAATGAACATGATAAATCGCCCAAGGGAAGCCTTCTGAATGCTCTGCGTGGCAGTCTGTGGCCCTCTTCTTCCTTAAGTGTCCCCACCTGTAAACTCAAGCTTCTCAAGGGACTTGTTCTGGGTGACAAAATGTGAGCAGAGGTGATCCCTGCCTCTTATGAGCAGTGCCTTCTAGCCAGTACACAGGCCACAGTTTCCTGTCCCTTCCTCCTCTCTCAAGGATTCTGGTATGGAGAAGACATGGCACAGGTCGATGGTCATGTCATATGAGTGACAAAAAGAACTTTGTTGCTGTCACCCACCAAGAGTCGAGGACCATTTGTTTCTGCAGCTAACCTAGCCTATGCTGACTAATATAGTACGTGTGCTTTTTCATATACATAGAACTGAGCAACTATTTAATAACTACTATAGCCTAAAAATAGGGGCGCCTAGGAGGCTCAGTTGGTTAAGTGTCTGTCTTCAGCTCAGGTTATGATCCCAGAGTCCTGGGATGGAGCCCCACATCAGGCTCCCTGCTCAGAGGGAACCCTGCTTCTCTCTCTACCCCCTACCCCCTCTTCTGTGCTTATGTGTGCTCTTTCTCTCTCTCGCTGTCAAATAAAAAATAAATGAATGAATGAATAAATAAATAAATAAAAATAAAATAAAATCTTAAAAAATAAAATCAACCAGTCCAAAGAATTGTCAGCTGGAGGCCCCTGCTATGCCACAAGTTATCCTTTAGCTGTTGGATCTTGGCTAAGGGGTCTCAAGGATGGGGCAGAGGTATCCAGGATTAAGAGGAAGAGGGACCCAAGAAGCTCAGAGTGACAGCCATTTCCAGGTAATACAGAGGGACTGCAGTCCTACTTGCTGGTGCTTCTCAGCTGACAGCAGACCTAAGTATTGGCATTGCTTAGCTAATCTTGTTACCATGTAGTTTCTTAGCAGAGGACTCTCACTTTACATATGCATCAGCCACAAGTTTATTTTCTTCTCCACTATAGCACTAGATTCCTCAGGCTTGATGGTTTGGCACTGCCACCTTTGCCATCAAATTATTACCGACTAAGCATGACTCCGTGTTACATCTGAGTAGCATGCTCATGGGCATGGAGAAAGGCAAGAAAACTGGAACATTCACAAGATTGGATTTGGATGTGAGGGGCTGCAGCTCACAGACAACACTGTGAGACCCAGCTGTGCCTGGTAATACTCTTTCCTCAGGTGGCATGGCTATGATTATTAGGGCCACACTTGTTAAATAAAGGCACTGGCAATGCCTGTCCCTATTTTAAAGGGTTTGTATTTCAGAGACTTGATGTGAAGGAAGAAAGCTCACAACATCTGCCAACCCATGGCTAATCCCCAGGTTGACAAACAATCCGGGGATTCACTGCACTGACTTACTGCACAGAACCTAAACATTATTCTAAAATACGGCTGAAGGCCAGAGTCTTATGAGCATCTGTGGGTCAGTGTGTTTATACCTCAGTACTTATGAAGGACATTCATTCTTGGTGGACTGAGGGTACTGGAAATGGCAGCTAGCGGACTGCCAAATGCCCTAGTGATTTTAAATTCCTTAGCCCTGCAGAGTGTACATCAATTAGCCAGAATGTCACACCACATTGCTGCATTTTTCCAAGCATGACAACGTCACTGAGCCTAGAGATTTCAAGGCCTCCCACTTACAGAAAATTTATTTTTAAAAATTTGCCATAGAGATCGTAGCTTAGTAAACTTGGTAGTCTCAACTCCAGCTCAGAGGCTTACACAAAGTGAGTGTTCCATGTGTGTGTTCAAAGAGTGGACAAACAGTTCTGAAGGTAAACAGACCATGTATCCATTTCTAAGGCAGACTCAATAGGCCATATGCCAAGACCATTTAATGAATTTTCTTTGATAGTTAAATTTGGAGAGCAGTACCCAATGTATCGAAGCCAAAGTCATGTAAAGTTTTTTTTGAAAATTCACATGTACATGTTTTCTATTGGTTTATGTACATGCTGGTGAGTTTCGGTTACAACACAAAGTCTATGTGTTACTAATGCACTATCCCAGCAGCCATTCAGGACACTCACTTGAATTAGGAAATTCCTAAAAAAGCAATTTCTTTCTTTTTAAAGATTTTATTCATTTGAGACAGAGGAATACAGAGAGAGAGAGCATGAGCAAGGGGAGAAGCAGAGGGAGAAGCAGACTCTCTGCTGAGCCAGGAGCCTGATGCCTGGCTCTACGCAAGGCTCAATCCCAGGACCCAGAGATCATGACCTGAACCAAAGGCAGACGCTTAACCATCTAAGCCACCCAGGTGTCCCTGTGAAACAATTTCCAAAAGATGTCTCAAACTTCACAACATTCAAATGCAGATCATCACTCAGAACCTATTTGCTCTTGCTTTGCACATAATTCTGACACTTACCTAGTGGGCCTCCAGGTCCACAGCAGAGCAGCAAGAGAAAGTTGGAAGACAGTGAGAAGACCCTCTTGGCTCAGGAGTGCCGTGTCGCAGGGGGCCCGGAACCAGGCAGGCAGGAGAAGGACACCTACAATAGGATTTCAGGTGAAGCTGGGAATGTCAGGAAGCCAAGACAAAGAAATGTCAGAATTAGAATCACATGTGAGGCACAAGGCTGAAACACTGGGACAGGTGGGTCAAGGCCACATCTAGGAAGGGAACAAAACTGAAAAGGAAAATGCAGTTCAGAACGGTCACTTAGATCAGGTGCCCAGGGCAGAGCAGCCTTGTGTCCTTCACCACTAGGCCCTCTGCTTGCCCGCCCTCTGCTTCCCACAAGGAGGCCGAGGATTGCATCTTTCTCCATTCACAGCTGTGTGCAGTTGGGCATGAGGCAGAAGTGATGCCTGTGGGGAAACCATTCATTCATTCATTCATTCATTCAATCAATTTTAATGATACACCTACTTGTGCCAGGTGTAAGTGATGGGGTAGGGGACACATCAGTGAGTAAAGTGGCTTCAGCCTGCGTGGGACTTAGATTCACAGGGTAGAAACCAGGGTTTCTGATTGATTGAAAGTGAGCCTTGTAGCTCAATTCTACCTCATTTCAAGGGCTTGAGGTCAGCTCTTTCTGGGGGGGATGGGAAATACATTTTTTTTTTTTTAGCATCTGGGCTTTGGAGAGGTAAGAAGTGACAGTTTTATTTCAAGGACATTAGTAAAAGCAGCCCTCAAAGTCAAAGACCTTAGTCTCAGAATACATGCAAACAGGTGCCTACAGTGCAAACCTTCTTGGAAAGTGCTGTACGATTACTAATTTTCAGGATGACCCCTGTATACAAGTGTCTGTTTAGGTCAGTCTGGTTAAAGCAGCCAGGAAGCGTGCAGCATTTTATTTTATTTTTTTTTTTAATTTTTTTTTATTTATGATAGTCACAGAGAGAGAGAGAGACAGAGAGAGAGAGAGAGAGGCAGAGGCACAGGCAGAGGGAGAAGCAGGCTCCATACACCGGGAGCCTGACGTGGGATTCGATCCTGGGTCTCCAGGATCGCGCCCTGGGCCAAAGGCAGGCGCTAAACCGCTGCGCCACCCAGGGATCCCGCGTGCAGCATTTTACAAAATTTTCACCCAGAATGTTGGTTTTTTTAATGGTCATCAAAGAAAAAAAAAAATCTCATTTATATGGAAAATTTACCTCCCCAAAGGAAGGTTTGGTTCAGAGCTAAAGTTTCCTAACCCCGATCTCCAGGAAGACTGTAAGCAATTTCTCACACGGCTCATCATATTCAGAAACCCCTTTACAATTTGTTACTACACGTCCGAACCCATTTTAATGTTCAAATTGATCCACAGGGCACCAACTGGAGGGAAGGGCCGGAGACAGGAGAATGGCTTTTGTACATCGGTTTTGTTTTAGTTGCTGCGGCCCAGGGAGCTGCCCGGCGACTGCGCGGGTTCCCACGGCAACCAAGGCGGGGAGCGCGGAGGAGGGGCGCAGCCGGAGTCCCCAGCCCCGCGGGCCGGGCGTGGGCGTGGGCGGGGCCCCGAGGGGGCGGGGCCGGGCGTGGGCGGGGCGGGAGCACGAGGGGCGGGGCCTGGGCGCGCCTGCGCAGTGCGCGCTACTCCGGGGGGCGGAGGCGACGCGCAGGAGGGAAGATGGAAGACTACCAGGCTGCCGAGGAGGTAACCGCCGGGCGGGGACGGGCAGGGTGGAAGCCGAGAGCCCCTGGCGCGGGCGCGCGGCGGCAGCCAAGGACGTGTGTGGGCTCCCGGAGCGCGTCCGGGCGTGGGCGGCCGCAGTCCCCGGCGCACACTGACGGCACCGGCGCCCTGCCCGGCGCTTCGCGGTGACCCCCGGCCTGGCCTGCTCGGGGCGTCGGCGCCCGCCCGGGGGGCGGGGCTCGGGGCGGGGCGGGGGCTCCCCGCGCGATGGCGGGCGCCCCGCGGGCTTCCGGGGACTTCCTGGGCGGGGCCGGGAGCTCCTCGTCTGCGCCCCCGCGCCCCGCCTCGCAGCGCCCCCGACAGGTCCACACCCACCGGGTCCCGAACCTGGCTCCCGCCGGCCCGCCACGCCCCCGACCCGGTCCACACCCGCCGGGTCCGGAACCTGGCTCCCGCGGGCCCGCCACGCCCCCGACCCGGTCCACACCCGCCGGGTCCCGAACCTGGCTCCCGCGGGCCCGCCACGCCCCCGACCCGGTCCACACCCGCCGGGTCCCGAACCTGGCTCCCGCCGGCCCGCCACGCCCCGACCCGGTCCACACCCGCCCGCCCTCCGCGCCCCCGGACCCTGCTCCAGGCAGGCGGGGCGTTGGGAGGGTGCGGTCACTGGCTCCCTGTATTCGGCGGCGGCGGCGGCGCAGACCCCCACCCTGGACCGGGTGCTCCGCGACCACGGCTGGGGAAGCCGAAGGTCATTAGGGCGCCTGCTGACTTTTAAGGCAAGACTCCAGAGTGACTTGCACGCGGGACACGCACGGACAGTGACATCTTTCAGGTCCCTGCAGTCGCAGATTCGAGGCGCAGGCTGTCTGCACAAGGCACGAGTGCGCAGGGGAGCCTGCCTTTGTCCGGCCTTCCACACCTCGTTCTTCAGCCTGGCTTCCGTCCACCGCCGCCACCACCACTTGTTTCATTTTCAGTTTGACTTTGAGATGTCAGTGTGAGAACCCCTGTGTGTGGGGGGGAAATAATCTGCCATTGCCTCGCTGTGGAAGCAGGGTAAAGCACATAATTTGCCAAGCAGAAGACATTCGGTCTCACGGTGTGCTGTTAAAATGGCTTTCCTTCCATTTAACGTGCACTCAGGGATTAGAGCTGATGGATGCTGCTATAATAGAAAGGTAGTTGCCCATTTTCTTCTTGCTAATAATTCTTGTTGAAATTGAAGTAAGTTGAGTCTTGTCAAAAATAAACTATAGATGAATTTGGTAAGGTTTGATATTTTAACCATCTTTGTCTTTTTTTTTTTTTTAGATTTTATTTATTTATTCATGAGAGATCAGAAAGAGAGAGAGAGAGGCAGAGACAGGCAGAGGGAGAAGCAGGCTCCGTGCAGGGAGCCCGATGTGGGACTCTATCCCAGGTCTCCAGGATCACGCCCTGGGCCGAAGGCAGGGACTCAACCGTTCAGCCACCCAGGCGTCCCATTTTACCATTTTTGAAACTTAGTTTAAGCAGGAATGTTTGGAGGGGAACAACAACAACAAAAAAATCTAAGACTAAAGGACTGACACTAGAGTTTCAGTTTTGATCCTATTTCCTAAGTACCACACAAATGGCAGTGTTTGAATGCTGGTACAACCAAGTGGATGATTATGAGAAGACATGGTTCAGGAGCACCTACCAAAGGAGAAAGCTTTTTCCTATAAACTAATGTAGGAAAATGGCTTGTATTATACGAATGTCCATAAAACTTTAAAAAAGAATTGACACCGCAAGAGAAATCTCTTAGTAGCGGCATTCTAATTCAGGCTCCCAGCAATGAGGGGGCCAAGGGACTTCGTTATTGCAGTTCTCACTTGGAGCTCTGTGAATTGAAGGGGCTGAGCAGCATCTGTTTTACACAAGATAAAGCCCTAAGCCCTTGGGAAGAGGAGACGCAGACTTCTTTCTAGCAGGCGTGCCTTAGGTAATTACCAGCCCACGCTAGTCCCTTCTGAACTAAGCCTTTTCTGCATATCCTCTAACTCCTGTAAAACCTGGACCTTTGTAAGACCACTCTCAACTCACTGGTCATATTCCCTTTAGAAGTTGAAACTTCTAAACCAGTGGATTCTGTACACCTACTCTACTTTTCTACTAAAAGTCTACTGAAATCCCCCCTCAGCCTTTTTTGTATTTTAGCCCGGGGCTAATTACACAGGGATTTTTCCAACTGGTTAAGGATCATTGAAGTCCCTTGGAAGGATCCAGTAAACCTCAAGAAATCATTTACTCTGTAAGATACTGCAAATTTTCATTCGTTCGGTGGATTGGCTTTGTCTCCACAAGTATGCCTTCTGAGTACAGCAAGTGAGAGGGCTTCAGGCAGTCTGCTCTTGATGCTCCTGGAAAGAACGGGGCATCCCTCGGACAAGGCCACAGTCAGCATCCAGCAGGGACTAAAACACTGCAAAAGCTGGGCACTCTGCCTTTATTCCACCACGATTCACAGTGACTGAGGACCTGGGCCGCTCTAGAAGGAATGTCCAGAACTAAGGACTGTTCACAGGACTCAGACAGAACTGGTACCCATTCGAGTGTACCTTATGTAAAGAGAAAACCATTTTTAAGCCCTGTCATTCGATTACAGGTGGCAGCCCCCCTCCCAGCTCATCCTGAGGCTGTGCTAGCAGCTATTCTGGTTTTGTAGTCCTGAAGTAGGACAGCATGAAGAAGGAAACAGCTATCAGGAAATAGTGTAACCATTGCATACTTAATCACTAATGGTGATTAAAAACAGAAACGTCTTGAGTTTCAGACCTCCTAAACAGTTTACCTTAGGAAAAGTGTCAGCTAATTTACACAAAAGTAACTCATTAAACTTGTGTATTTGTTAATGATCCTAGTAGCCAACTGAAATGGAGAGAGATTGAATCTAAAGTGACCATGGCATGAGTAAAAACAAACCAAAAACCTTTGAATTATATACATATTCAGATTCCTGATGCCTCTCACCAGCTCTGTGATCCTCCAAGAGCCACTCAGCATTTCTGAGTCTCTGTAGTGTCTTCCTTGGTAAAAGGAAGTTTAGTTCGGTTATTTCTGAGTCTTTATTTATAAATTATGTTCATTACTTAAATTGGCATTAATCAATGCAGTGGAAACATCTTTTAAAGCCATCAAATCTAACTAATTTTCTTGCTTACAGACTGCTTTTGTTGTTGATGAAGTAAGCAACATTGTAAAAGAGGTAAGAGGAAGAATAATTATTTTTAAAATGTTGATTAATGGCCTTATGAGTGAAAATAAGTGTTTTAAATACTGTCTTGGAATTGTTTCAGCTGAGCCTGTGTGTTTTGGCATTTTAAATAACAGTTTTTACTGCAGTGAATAGATAAGAATGTAGATAAGAATGTAGATAAGAATTACTTCCATATTATGTAAATTATATATTTTAAACCAGACAAGAAATTTTATATACTAGCATTATTATTGAATATTACTAAGACTTGGTTCAATGATCTTTTAACATAAAAGACTCATGGTCATGGTGTCCAAGTAAATGTTTCTGGTGTCAAATAAAGAGTGAATATAAAAAAATTGAAAAACTTTCAGTTATTTAAGACCTGGTGATCCCTTTGGGGCTTACCTGCTTATTTTTCTTAAACTACGTATATAATCATTATTGACTGTACATCCCATAGATGATGACAGTAGAGGGCAAAACAGGATATTTGTTCTTCATTCATTTGAAGAATACATATCAAGGGGACATTAGGGACTGACCTTCAAGGATTTTACAGTATGGGGCAGGGCCAGCCAGGCACTTAGCAAATAATCACACTGGGAAATGTAAACTTGCATTTTTGTGTGGTAACTACCACCACATGTGGTGCTAGGAGGCATCTGACTCACCTGCTGAGTTTAGAGCTAGAAGCTGGAGGGCAGCCCTGGTGGCTCAGCGGTTTAGCGCCGCCTTTAGCCCAGAACCTGATCCTGGAGACCCAGGATCGAGTTCTGTGTTGGGCTCCCTGCATGGAGCCTGCACTCCCTCTGCCTGTGTCTCTGCCTCTCTCTCTCTCTCTCTCTCTCTCTCTCTGTCTCTCATGAATAAATAAATAAAATCTTTTTTAAAAAGCTAGAAGCTGGAGAATGAGCAGCAGTGGTGTTAACTCAGCAAAAAGAGGGGGCAGACATTCCAGGCAGGGCACATGTGCAAAGGCCCTGTGGTGGGACTGTGCATGGTGTGTTTGAGGGACTGACATGAGGCAGATGATGCTGGAGTAGTGCAGAGTGCTGGGGAAGCCTGGGGCAGGAATGAGGCCAGAAAGATTTTCCTTAGTCCCCTTCCCTTCCTGTGTAAATTGAGCACAGAGTGTGAAGCCATTGGCCAGAAGAAAGCCATTAGATGACCTAAGTTTATTTTTTATTATTTTTTAAAGATTTTATTTATTTAAAAAGAGAGAGAGAGAGAGAGGCAGAGACACAGGCAGAGGGAGAAGCAGGCCTCCTGCGGGGAGCCCAATGGGGGACTCGATCCCAGCACCCCAGGATCACGCCCTGAGCCAAAGGCTCAACCACTGAGCCACCCAGGTGCCCCTAGATGACCTAAGTTTAAAGTACCAGCTGAGATTATGTGTGTAATTTGGAATGGCCTCTAATGGAAATTCTTGACTAATGCCAGAGTGATCAAGAACCACAACCCATTTTTGTGATCAACACCAAAAAGCAAGATGATATTGTTGTACCATATACATCATTCACCATCACACATGATTTTCTGGTTGTTGTGCAAGATCTGTAACAGTTTGCTTTGGTTTCCCTGCACCACGGTGTTTCTTAGGGAACGTGGGGGTGGGGCAGGTGGGTGGCAGAGCCGGAGTGGAACTGAGAAGTGGGGTTGGCTTATCGTGAAGGCCCCCGTGATCTCCGTGTTTTCGGCGTCACTGACTCAGTTGCCAGGCAGCAAGTGCAGTTGAACGTAGACCCTCCCAGGCCCCATGACAGCAGGAGATAGTATTGCTGTGGTCCCCTCCACGGGCACTGGCCTCTACAACCTTTGTTCCCTCCCTCTGGAATAGGTTAATTCACTTGAGCTGTTTCAAGGATTGGGTAGTAATGTGTTTGGGTGGGTCCAGAATTGGAGGGCAGTTTTCCTCCCTCCCCGAGAAACAGCTCCTGTCACGGTGCACGTGGAGAGAGCAGCCCAAGGTAGGGGCTTAGCTTGACTGGTATCCAGATGTCTTAACAACCAGGTCCTTTCAAACTAGGAGTGCCTGTGTCCCCACAACCTTATTTTATGCTGAGCTGGGAAGAGTGGAACATGTCAGAGGATGAGAAGGAGCTATGACAGGAGGGATGAAGGGGAAGGAAGGCTGGCAGCTACACGAGGTGTGTTTAATGTGACTGCTCAGAGCCCCAGGGTAAATAGGTGCGACTACAAATAGTATTTTGTTCCCCAAAAGCAAGGTCACTGGGCTTATGCCCCAGACAGTAGACCCTAATCCATCGCCGGTGTGCACAGCTCCAATCCCAGGGTTGTGTCTCTGCATGTCTGAGGACAGAACTGGGCCCTCACCAAATTATTTTAGGTCATAGCTGTCATCAAAACCCAGGTCTCTGGTTTCCAGCTAGAAAGGGGTAGAGAAGGAAGCCGCTTAGAGGCAGGCGCATTGGCATCAGCAATATATGGCCCACAAAAATTATAACATGCTAACAGCCTAACTACACGCTTGAGACGAGCAGGGGCAGGCAGCTGCACCTGTTCCTGAATAATCTCTGAGACACACAGCATGAACCCTCACCAGGATGCAGCACAGAAAAAAGACTAGGAATTTCAGATAAAGAGAAAAATACATCATAACCTTACAATAATTTTTCTAATATATAGGGCTCCTTTTTTATTATCTGAAAAGTGCACTTATGTGTTATGTTCCCAGAAAATACTGGATAAGTGAGGTATTTTTGAATACATGGTTATTTGCGTAGGTTTGTATGTTGTCAGTTGTACAATCAAGCAATAAAGATTCCTGTGTCTGCTATATTTTAAGAAAGGAATGGGCAAAGGAAAATGTTTTCTAGCCTCAGTAGGAAAAAAAAAATTATCTCCAACTACGAACTGCAATAGTCAACAGTAAATTCGGTCAACATGTTTCTAAAATTTGACAGACTCTATGGAAGTGTGGATTTTTAAGAATATGTAACTTAATGAAATAGGACACTCTTAAAAGGTGTGTTTGCAGATGAGTCCTCGTGGTTACCGATGTGCTATTTCATGCAGACTGTATTGTGGCAGTTCTCATGGTGGGAGCCTCGGCACTAAGTGGAGGGTTCTGGCTGAGTTCTACCAACAGTGACCCTGTGCTTCTGTTCCAGGCTATCGAGAGTGCCATTGGTGGCAATGCCTATCAGCACAGCAAAGTGAATCAGTGGACCACAAATGTCGTAGAACAAACTTTAAGCCAACTCACCAAGCTGGGAAAGCCATTTAAATACATCGGTAATGCATTTTTGCTTCTCGTATATATTGCTGGTGGTTGTTGACATGCTGGTGAGAGGTGAGTTTGGCAGTGTGATGTCTGACCTCAAAGAAAGCACCCGGTAGGGGCAGGTCACTGTATTGTGTGTGTTGCCACCCTCCTGGCCTGTTCAGCAGCTCAGTCGCAGGGCGCACATCACAGCATTTCCCAGCACTTCAGATGCTTTTACAACAGGCATGTGGTGCGGGACAGGGACGGGTGTGACTTGTCACTGTCACAGGGCCAGGCAGTCTACCCCGATAGCTGTTAGCCCAAACACCAGCCACGGGTTCTTCGTACATATGCTGAAAGTAGGCTAACAGAAATGTGTGTTGCCAAGCAGATCTAATAAAAGTTTGTTTTAATTGAAGTGACCTGTGTGATTATGCAGAAGAACGGAGCGGGGTTACACACAGCGAGTTCCTGCTTCTGGGACAGCTCGACTGACGGTACGGTTCTCCACTGTCCTCTGCAGGCCTGTCGTGGGTTCTCCCTGCAGGCTCCGCGTGCTCCTTGACCCTGCTGAGATCTAGAGTTTTCTGAACATGTGCTCGGATGTTTCAGGTCTTTGAAAGCATGTTTATTAGAGTCCCCTTTAACACTCTGTATAGGGAAGAGTCTGAGCAGCCTCATCTGTGTGCCACACAGAAGCCCAAGAAGAGGCTAGCGCGCCCGTCTCCCTGAGTTGAGCGCTCTGTGCCTTCTCCCCGCAGGCAGCTGCACGGTGCGCTGGGAGAACAAGACCATGTACTGCATTGTCAGCGCCTTTGGGCTGTCCATCTGACCGTCGGCGGCCCTGCCTTCCCCCTCTGCCCCGCTCGCCGCCTCTTCCTGACGGCCACGGATCCGGTAAACGCTGTCCTTGTGCTCTTTCAGTGTCTCTCGTGGCGCTCTCACAACGTGGAGAAAAGGCAGGTGACTGCCCTGTTCTGTGAACGGCGCATCCCGTCAGAGGCTAGTCATCCCAGCGGCCAGGCCTGTGCTGCCACTTGTCTTAACTCTGAACATTTCTTCCCAAAGGTGCTAAAAACTGAAATCTGCTAGTTTGAAGCTTTCTCTCTCTCTGAATGACTCAGATACACTAATTTTCCATACTTTGTACTTTGGTTAGAATAATAAATTATTCCACTTTAAAGTTTGTGTTTTTCTTCATAGTCTAAATAATACCACAAATGAATTCTTCAGTTTTCAGTAGTGACTTTAGAATCTATAGAACTGCAGAACCAAAAAGGAAGTTACAATTTGGCGTCGGTCCCCTCCAATATAAGGATTTGCTGCTTTGATGTGAGGGCCCTGGATCCTGCTGGCTTCTGGGAGCGTGCCTGCTGGTCCCTGCTCTGGCCAGAGCTCTCAGCCCCACATGCTGCCCTGTCTGCCATGGGGCGGCTCCTACCTCAGTGTTCTCCACTTGTCAGTGGCAAGCCTTCGAAAAATGTTTTAGTACTTTGGGGCTTCCAAAATGCTTTCATGATCATTTTTCAGCCACAATTAGGCACCTATTTATAAATCTGCAAACACGTTTGGAGGTTATGGGACTGATATTTTTTATCTAAGGAGGGAGATGGGCCCCTGCCCCAGTCTGGGACCTCACCCTTTGCTCATCCACGGGCCACATTCACACAGGGATTAAGACACACTCTCGTGTCCGCCTGCCAAAATGAAGAATGTGCTTTGTCCCTGAAGCACTTCTGCCTGAATGACCAAATTAACTCCACAAGAGCAAATAAATCACATAAGGATTGAATATTTAAAATTTATTAACATTTACCAGAAAGGAAGTTTCAGAATGAAGCCATTCGCAAAGTGTAAGTTTGCCATAAATAAACATTTATTCACTTTTGACTGATGCTACAATGATCATTCTGTGATCAGTTACTGTGCTCATTGACACAGTTCCAAGATCTCCTACATAGTTCTAGCTTTCCTTTTGAACTTAAAGTTGTTTTTATTTTACAAATATTTACAGTCATTTTGTAAAAAGGCAGTTTTCAGTAGCAGAAAATTCTGTGTTTCACTGTGTGGGATTATAGTTACCAGTATATCAAACATGTCAAGTCAACAGCAGGATAACAAGATGTCACAGACTAAAGCGACTTCCCTTGGGCCTGGGGAAAAGATTTGTAGCTTTCTTCCCAAAAGTCTAACCTCTAAGGCAACTGGTTTCTAAAATCTTCAAAATACATAAATATTCTTTAGTGACTTAACTAGAAATCACTCGATGTCCCTTTTTACCATCCTGTTGATGAGCTTCCATGGTTTCCTCTGTGAGGAGGATTCCAGGAAGTAAGTCACTGACCATACCGTGACAAATTCAACACAACTGTACCTTCAGTAAATAGTTCACGGAATGCTTGAGGCTGGTGACATTTGTCTTGTAACCTGCCCATTTAGTGGGCTGGGTTTACTTAATGTATCTAAACTTTTATTGCAATCTGTAATTATGTACAGGAACAATCTTACAAACCTTGAATATATTTTATATATCCCCTTCTCTAGCCTTTCAAATGGGGCTGAAGAGAGAGAAAACTGCATCACTTCACTGCTTTAATGATTTAATAATAAATCAAGCAGACCTATTACCCACACGGATAATGATGCTCTCCCTAGGGAAGCTGAAATACGTACGGTCATCTTCCAGGTTCCCCTAGACTGGACCAGTGTAAAAAATTACCCAAAGATGATGTTATTCAAGCCATTACCATGGAAGAACTAAAGTCAGCCCTTTGAATTTACAATTGAAGTTTGCAAAACTTTGATACTCTCCAAGAAAAAAAAAACAGTTTTCTTGCTACTGTCTACAATTTCTGGCAGACTTTAGTGTTTTAATCTAATACCTACGGCATATATACTACATGCTAAGTGCTATATACGTTAAGCAAATCTTTACATGGAGTGCGTAAATGTTGATCTATATATGATACACCAGAGACAAGACTGAGAATGCACGATTTAACAGAGAGCCATTTTCCCCTTAAGTACTTTCTTTTATAATTTTGTTTCCAACTTAGTTATAAAAAGTAAATAAATACTCCCATATTTTCATTTCAGTGACTTGGTGCCATGAAGAATCAAGTATGAAGAGATCAGTCATCAGTTTATAATTACACTATAGGACAAAGACAAGTTTTAAAAAGTTCTAATGTATATGGCTAAATGCCTCAAGTAGTTTACATTTGCTGATAAATAAAAGCATTCCAAATTATGGACATTTAATAATGATTAAAACTTGTAAACTATATCACATACTAGAATACATTAATCAGCACAAGTTTTCATCAATTTACATAAATTATTTCTAGTTAGAAGTTGAAAAATGTGGTAACAGAAAAATTCTTCCAATACCTTGGAGTACACGGAATCAAAAAAAAAAAAGTAATCATTAAAAAAAAAAAAAGTGATCACACCACTGAAAATGTAAAAACCATGTAGACTTGAATTACCCTTGCAGTAATATAGTTGTTTTAATCCAAACTTTTATATTTACAAGGTTTTAAAAACAAATGGAATCCATATTAAAGGTACATTATCACTAAGGTTTAAACAGAAAGATGTGAAGCCATAATGAGAAGTCTCTCATGAACCTCTCTAAGGGCCCAGCACTACCTAAAGTGAATACAATTTTTAGCTATTTGAGAGTTAATGCATAGATGAAGGAAACGTAGGTACTGCTTGCGGAGCGGAACAACCCTACCCTATGCTGCTGCATCTACCAAGACGCCATCAATGGATGTTAGCCATGACCGTACGGTAACGGTTCAAGAGAGACGTTATTGTGCATTGTCAAAGGAAAAGGAAAGGAGAGCTCTATACCAGCCTTCTACACTTTGTCTTTGACAAAAAGGAACTGGCAACTCTCCAGGGCCTTCTCTGATGCCACAGATTCAGCAGCTCCAGACAACTTTTCTCTTCCCTGGCCACTGGGGAGCGGGGCATGATTCGCAGCAAGTGACCTTCTACCCAAAGATATGCTTTCCACAAGTCATCCAAAATGTTTTACTTCTTTCATCTGTTTCAAATGTGGAACTGAAAAATTTTTTCAAGATAAAAAATTTATAATAATATATCAATCCTTTGTTTAGCTTTCATTAAAAAATAAGTTCCACGGGGTGTTCTCTCTTAATGGAGTTGTAGAAATGACAGCTCATAGGAACTGTAGTGGATACCCTCTTCCCCACCCCACACCACATCCGTTCACATTCATGTATATAATGCTCACATGCACACGCGTGTGGACACAGGCCCTTGGAAACTATGGCAGCAAGACCTCTCCCCTGGAGCTGGCTCTTGTCATCTCACCCTTTCCTTATGAACCTCAGCCAGTCCTCCTCAGACCCCACAACACTAGTTCTGCCCAGTGGCCGTGAGGGGCTAGCACCCACCTGCCCACCATTGCCCTAATGAGCCATTGCACAGGCATTTTGGACAGGAGTTCCTAGTCACTTAGGATGCTCGGTTAGCCAGAGCACCGGCCACTCCAGGGGGAAGGTCTGCCCCCAGGAGACAGGCACAGAAACAGGCTTCCTTTGAATTTCAATGGTGGAAACTGGTACAGGGCAGGAAGAAAGGAGGAAAGAGGAGACCTTCACCATGCTTATGACCTCATTCATAAGGGTTTTCCATGGACTCAGAATGAGCAATTAAAAAAAAAAAATTCACTAAAAACAGGAGTAATTACCTCCTCACCACTAAAAATGAACTCTTTCTCATCTGAAATCTTTGAAAAGGGAATTGGCTGTTCATGCTTGTTATCAGCACCTCTCTTCTCAAATAAAGGCAGCCGCTCTAACAATTAATTTGGCCCAATGGTTAAATTTGTCCTTGGTTTTGGTTTTCCTTTCAAAAATACGTAAACACAGAAGGACCAGGAATCCTCTGCTTCTGAGACCAGGCCGAACACCAGCAGTGGCAGAGGCAGTCAGGAAGCGGCGAGGCAGCAACGCGTCGGCCCGGGACTCAGTCACTCTCAGATCCTTCCTTGTACTGTGCCCGGATGGCCTGGCCATTCTGCAGGGGCATTTCTTCATAGTCGCTCCTGTCATGAAAGAGACCCTGGATGCCATGTGGCTTCTGACAGCTCCTCATCTATTCTCTTGCACACTGGTGTGCCATTCTAGCAAGAACGCCGCACATCACAGCTCTGCGCTCCCCATTTCCATAGCCTGCTGCTCCTGCCGGCTCCTCACCCCCCTCAGGCACCAGGGCCTGCCGCCAGGAAGAACTGTTCCTCCTGTGGTCACCACCCGTGGGAAGTGTTCAAAAAACGGAACACCACTCAATCTAGTCAGAACAATGTGAAAAATAGAACATGGTGGGATCACAGGGCATTCCCAGGTAAAAGAAACGTCACAATGCCTTGAAAATCATTTTAGAATGATTACAGCCTGTTCAGCAGACACATAAAACCAGGCCAAATGCTCACTATTGGACAGCTTTCCGAGAGGCAGGGACTTACCCATAGATCACATCATCGTCAGAGTCATTCAGCATCGAGAATGCAGGGTTGTCTTTCAGCTGCGACTCTGAGAAACCACAAAAACATTTTTATGTTATTAGCCTGGGGAGCCAGGATGCTACAGAAAAAGGACAGGAGTCAGAGAGGGCAGGATTCAAGTCCCAGCTTCCACCGTTTATCATTTGTGGGACCTGGACAAATCTTGCCTCTCAAGCATTTTCTCACATACAGGCTGGGGCCGCATCACTACTTGGCAGGCTGGTGGGCAGAGCGCGCGGTGGAAGCTCCAGGAGGAGACAGACTCCAGGAGGGGCCCTCCATCGGGAGCTGCGATCCGGCTATTATGTTCTCCCAAGTCCACCTGGGAGCAGGGGCGGAAAATACCCAGGAGACCAGGAGACACCAGCCCTGCTCCCTGCCACCCCGGGGAAGGAAGCCACTTTGTCTAGTTTCTTCATCTCAGAAGGAAGTAACTGTGCCTTCGTTAGAGTGGCTGTGAGGCATTTTGGCACTTCGGGAACTCACACAACACGGAAGTCGGGTGGTGGGCCTGAAATGCTACGCCCCTGCCCAAGTTCCAGGAAGTTCCTGCCCTTTCGGCCTGTGACAGTCTGGTTCTTCTTTGGAGGGGGGCTGGCTTTCTGAGCAGCCATGGCATGAGTGTTCAACAGATGTGGCTTCGCATGGCTGAGGGACATGCTCGGGCTCGGATCCGCTAACAAAACACCTGTTTCCATGCTGGGCTCTGATGACACAGCACATGCTGTGTTCTAACTACAACTCAGGGCTTACACCAAGACTTACTTCGTCTTTTTCCGCTACCAAGTTTTGGGGCCCAGCCCTGACAGGGAACCCGGAGGTTGGGTCCCGGATTGCAGTGAGGCCATCTGACCAGCCAGCCGGCCCCAGGGTGGCTTACCATACAGGGCGTTCTTCGACGGAGAGTACACAAAGGCCAAAGTGTAGAGGTAAAAGTTCAACAAGCCGTAGAAAGATAAGAATTCAGCTGGTGACATCGTCAAGGGAAATCACCAGCCCCGGAACTGGTGTCTGGCTGCCCCCTCTAAGCACCAGCAGTCCTTTCTACTGCTGACCGCCAGCGAGGACCCCACGGTGCCACAGCCCAGACAGCAGGACACCACAGGGCAAGCCCACAGCCAGAGGTTACGATAACCTTTCAATGTCACTTGTTGATAACAGGTGCACCTTGTTCTTTTCTACCCATGGAAACCTCTGGAGGTGGTGGGGCCTGACGTGATCAAGTTACACACAAAGAACAGAGCCCCATGCACGCATATGGGTAAATCGAGAATGAAATGAAAAACTAGAACGGTCTATCAAACCAGTCGTTCTTAATCTTTTCTGCATTACAGACCCCCCTCTGAGAAGCTGATAAAAGGTTTGTGTGAAATCCAGCCAGTAAAATTTGTAAAATCCTGCATTAATTCTAAGGACAGGAAGAAGCCCAAGGAAAGAACCTACATGAAAGGGATTAACTCTAAAGCGCCCCCTGATGGACGCCAGCAACCCCGGGGGAGCGGCAAGCTCTGGAAGCTGCCAAGTAGTGGAAGAGCTTAGTGGGAGGCAAGGAGCCTGCCTGCTGGCCTCCGGCACACTCACATCTGGGTGATGGGGAGAGACACTCAAAACGGGCTCAGCCTCTCCTTGGTGCTCTGCGGGGAGAAGCGGGCACCACAGACTGATGCCGAGTCCTGAATGGAGCCTGGATTCCTGAAGAATCCAGGGACAGGGGAGCAGGGGGGTGGGAGAGCAGCTGGGAAGGGACTCCCTCTGGCGTCGCTGCCCGGGGTGGGCCGTGGTGGGGCCCATGGCACACAGGTGCCCCAGTGACCTGCCGCTTCTGCACGGCCCTGACACACTAACCACTCCCGGCACAGCGTGGGCCTGAGACCTGTCGGTTTCCAGTGAAAAGGATATAATTCTGGTAGTGAGTTGACAGTTCAGCTACAAAATTGTCTTGTAATACTTGTGCTCCAAACCTTAAATAAAGGATGACGATGCTGAAAAGGAGGAGGAAGGACAGTGAGTAAACACAGGCGAAGAAATGGCCTCAGCTCCACAGCACTCATTCCATTCACCCCGGTCCCGCGGTCCATTCACTATAATTTCTGCACGAACCTGGGCACGCACGCGTGCACACACACACACACACACACCCCACCCCACCCCTGCCACAGGTGTTTGGTCTCAGATCCAGGAGGGCCGCTGCTGGGACAGAAGCAGGTGGCCGCCCGCACCGGTGCCCTGAAGCACCCGCTTGGCATGGCTCCTTCCCTTCTCACGCTGCCCTTAGGTCTCCTTTCCCAGACCAGCTCCTCCCACATGACAAGGCCCTGAGGAAAGTCGGCTTCCCCCAGTCACATTTCCCTCCTCAGGCTCGGCGATTCCCACGGTGAGGGAGCATGGCACCTCTGTCCAGACAAAATGATGACACGGAGCTCCGCAGCCAAGCGGCGCTCCCCTGAGCGACTCCAGTGTCTGAACCAGCACCCTGCGCTCAACTCCCCTCCCCGTGGTCCATTCACACAGAGCCAGAGGGACCCCTAACCAACTGTAAACCGGAGCCTCCCACCTCCTGGCTTCGATCCCTCCCAAGGGTTCCCATCACCGAAAATAAACTGGGGCTCCTCCTGCTGGCGTGCAGGGCTGGACCTCACCTCTCCGGGGGGCCGCCCTCCCTCACCTCCTCACCTCCCCTGGCACTGCTGCTCCTCTTACACTCACCAAGCCACCTGCTGTCCCCATGACTCCTCCCTCAGGCCTCAGGCCAAGTGTCTCTTCTGCAGAGCCGTCCCCTCCCCGTCTAAAGCAGAATCTCTCCTGCCATCATCACATAGTTTTTATTAGGGGGCTTATGCTATTTATCTACTTGTTTGTCACCATCTTCCTCCATTAGAATAGCAATCCGGTGATAGGGAGGAACCTGTCGGCCTGCTGATCAGAGCACGCAGTCCATACACGCTTCTTGGACAAATAAATGAGTCCCTTTGAAACTTTTATGAAGAAAGACCATAAAGGCCGAATGACTTCTAAATCAGACTCTACAGAAGTCAGTACAGGCATCTCACTCCCAAACCTGTGGACTTGGCACGAGGGTGAAGACATGTGAGGGGATGTGAGGGGTATGTGGGGTGTGTGTGTGTGTGTGTGTGTGTGTGTATGAGAAAATGCGTGAGGGGACGTGAGAGTGTGTGAGAGGTTTGAAAGTATAAGTGTGTGTATGAGGGGGTGTGAGCGTATGAGCATTGTGAGGTAGGGTGTGAATGTGAGAGGGAGTATGTAAGAAAGTGTGAGTGTGTGGGGGGTGGGACAGTGAGTGTGTGAGGGAATGTGTGAGGGGGGTGTGAGAGAGAGAAGGTGTGTGAGGAGTGTATGTGTAAAAGAGCATGAGGGTGTGTGAGGGGCCTGTGTGAGAAGCAGAGATCACCTGTGCACATGCGCTGAGGAAGGGCTGCCTACAGGACACCCGCACTGCTGTTTCCAGGTGAAAGCAGATGCCGAATGGAGAGCGCTGAGATTGTGTGGTATGATGGGCAATGAGCATGACTTGGATGGGAAGGGACATGGGTGCCCAGGGGAGGCCAAAACTCAGGCAGCGGGGCACCCTACAGCTGCGCTACAAAACTGGCCTCTCAGAGCCCCATGTGGCTCCCAAGGAAAACAGCCGGCAGCCATTTATTTGCCACCCAAACTGCCAAAAAGAAAGGCAAGTGACTATAATCTTTCCCTCTGGACTCGGATTTTAGCAGAAAGAAGCAAACACAAACAGCCAAACAATGATTTGGCAGGCATTCACAGAAACCACCTGGTCACCTGGGCCTCACTCAGCCTCTGCAGCCTCCCACCACAGCCTTCCCCCACCCAGCGTCCTTCCCCTGGGGCCATCGCGTGGTGGTTCAAAGACACCCATGGTACTGAATTCAAATACACAGTCCTCTCCTTGGAGCATCAAAAGGTCGCCAGGCACCAAGTATGAGGTATTCTAGTTCTCAACCCCACACTGGGCTGTGGCCACTCCACCTGCATGGCCCAGGGCCCACAGGCCTCATCTACCCTCGTCATTCCCCGGGGCATTTATAACACAATGTGAGCTCTCTTGGCCACTGGGGATACTCAGTGCCTGCCCTGAGCAAGAGGCCCTCTGACCCAATGAACAGATCTGGCTAGAAATGCACTGAAATTAATTCTGTGAAAGGGGAGAAAAGATATTCATGACAGGAAAATACAAATTTGCTGTTTTGCTTCTTTCAAGGAATAAAGTCTTCTTACCTAATAACAAGCACTACAAAAGTCAATGCAGTCAAAAATTTTAACCTGAGATCTGAAAAAGAAAGAAATACCTCATTAAACCACTTTGGAAGTAAATTCCATTCTTACCACAGGGAGCTTAGGAAAAAAAAGACAAATAATGAACCAAGCCTCCTGAACAAAACCCCTCCTCCGTCTGAACTTTAAGCCTGTGTGCACCTGAAGCCCAGAAGACATGCGCGGTCCCACCTGCCCAGAGTCGAGGAGGCACCCCAGGGAGATGACGGCCATTGTTAATTGGTTGTTCCAGATTGAGAAAAGGGATCCATGTGAGCAGATGACTTGCCCTAACTTGGGACTAGGAAAACCGCCCTGGCCACCTTCTCTGCAAGGTACAATTCTGGGAGGATACACCCAGGGCCCCAGGTGGCTTCTGCCTCACAGGCCTCCCAGTGCTGGCCCCAAGGCACTGTCTAAAAGGCCCAGAGTCGCCCATTCAGCCCTGCTGTGGCTCCTCAGGGACCGAAGGCGCTTGTCCCCAGCAAGAGGGAGTGGGACAGGTCCCATCCAGGTCAGGCCCTTGCTGGGTGGGCTCCAACAAGAGGCCAGCTGTGCGGCCAGCTCCCAGCTCGCCTGGCCTTGGGCAGTTCGTAATGGGGGCACTTACCTACATAAGGCATGTGACGCAGCTCAGAACAGGCCCGCACGATCAAGAACAGAAGGTATAAAATATACACGGCTGCCACCACCATGAAGAAAATCTTCATTCCCTAGAATGACACACGATGGCAGCTGAGTAAGAACAGGCGCTTGGCCTTGCTCCTCCTTCCAACACCACGGCAAGCAGGAAAACCGAGCATCTTTACAAGGAGCCTAGAGTCCTGAGGGTCTCTCCATGACAGAGAACAAGAGTGTGTTCCTCAACCAGACTCGCTGCTCAGCCTTCTGTGAGCCACGTGGTTCACCCGGGGACAACCCCGGCCCTGCTTGGCCCCATGAGCCAGAGTCCAAGCTCCCTCTACCGGGCCCAGGATGCAGCGGGAGCTCAGCACACCAGTGCTGGCTCTGCAAGCCTCAGGCTTCCAGCATTCCCTCTAGTAACAGACACAGGCCACTGATTGAGAAGGGGACACAAAGGTGACCACAGCCACGGTGACAGCTGCCTCGCTCAAGTCCTTCCGAGTGCTGGCCAAGGGCTTTGGGTTCCTGCTCCATTCAACCTGCACGGCAACTCTTCAGCAGGGACGGCGCCACCATCCCCTTCTACAGAGGGAGAGCACGGGGACAGCAGGGGCTGGGGAGGTGGGAGGCTTGACCTGCAGGCCACTTGGGAAGCTAGCGTGCTGGCTCAGGTACCCACCCTGGTGACCTAAGACCCCTGACCACCCCTCAGTTTTCACGTGAGAACCGGACAAAAGCTCCAGTGACAGATTAGCAAGAACCTATTTATCTCAATCTGGGTAGTGACAACCAAGAGCCCTGTAGATCTGTCACTGGGGTCTGCAGAATCTTCCCTGAGAATGTGTCAATACAGCTCTTCCCTGTCCTCTCCTTTCATGTCATGCCCCTAGAGAAGGCTTCCCGGGGTGTAGGTGCCCCACCTCGGGTCTCCTGCAGGCCTTCCTCCCCACCCAGCACCGCCCACAGCCCTGCCCAAGGCCCCTGCCAACTTGGCACACGGCTCCATGCAGCTCTGCAACAGCACCGCCCTTCCCTGGCCCAGAATGCCTCCCCTCCTCTCCAGTTCCAGGTTCAGCCCCTTCCCCCAAAAAACCTATTACAGCATTAGAAGACTAAAAGACAAAACACAAATAAACACCTCTTCCCCTAGAAACTTGGGCTCACTGTCCCTAAGGACACAGGGACGCTGCACACCGGTCTGTACTTACTACTAAGCTTTTTCTCCCTCACAAGGTCCTATATTCTTTGAGGGCAAAGATCATAGCACATGGCTCATAAGGCATACACTGAGCAGCCTTCAAAACTCCTCAAACTTCTAAATAATGGAATGAAAGACTACCAGTGCTCCCCTGCAAAAATCTGGCTAAGAATCATGTGGTCAGACTACTCGCTATGACATGTGTGGTCTCAACACAAGCCATACATCTTTCAAGATAATCATCATTCACTAAACCTCCCTCTTTCTCAGAGGCCATTCCCATAAAGAACCACAGTTTTTATCACTTTACAGGAGGCTCTGCAAAGTATCCAGAGAAATGGTGGCGATCACCCAAGCTCAGGATTCAACTCCGTCATGCCTCTGGGATTGCCCTGCTGGGACCATGCCTTCTAGATACCTCACAGGCTCCCTCTGGCCCCGGGGCCCCTCACACATCCATGCCCTAGGCAGCCAGCCGTGCCCAGGAGGGGCTGCCCCGTGAGAGGCCTCGGGATGGCAATAAACCCAGAGATTTGAGGGAAAGCCACATATAGGGCCTGAGTGCCATTTGCTGACCCCTGTGTAAAATAAACTAGGTTTTGGTGAGAGCAGAGCATTACCCAGGGTGCTGTGTCCTGTTGCTGCTGTGCCTACAGGCCCACATCAGCCAGCCTGGCCACACCATTTATTCTCTTGGAAACATTTCTCTACTTTACAGAATTAAATCAACAAAATGAACAAAACAGATTTCTTAATTGCTCTACAATCCTCCTAAAATCTGATACACTTTCTGTGCCTCAACCATAAACCGAGGAATGAAGCGACTTCATTTTAAAAAGCTTATTTTTCATACTACTCAAACACATTCCAAATTTTGTACCCATGAACCTTCTATAGTCTCCCCTAACTAGCCAGTTAGCAAAGTCATTTCAGCAGTACTATTTAAGTTACAAAATTCAGTAATTTTTAAAAATAGCATTTTAGAAAAACCCACAGCCATCACTAATAATCCTTACCTGAAAATTTCCTGTGTCAACTCGATACTGGTACATTGGATCATGTAATTCATTAACTCTGAAAATATAGTATTATTTTTTAAAAAATCACAGATTAATAACTAGCTTACTTTTCATTTTTTGCTTTCATCTGGCTTTTATTTTTTTCTAAGATTTTATTTATTTGACAGAGAGACAGAGAGAGTAGGAATGGGGGCAGAGGGAATGGGAGAAGCAGACTCCCAACTGAGCAGGGAACCCCATTGTAGGGCTTGATCCCAGGACTCCGGGATCATGACCTGAGCCGAAGGCAGATGCCTAAATGACTGAGCCACCCAGGTGCCCTTCCTTTGGCTTTTAAAGAAACTTATTAACAGCGGTGCCTAGCTGGCTCAGTGGGTAGAGCATGCGACCCTTCATCTCAGCATCGTGAGTTCAAGCCCCAAAGGGGCTTTTATTATTTAAAAAAATAGGGGCTTTTTTATTTAAAAAAATACATTTTTTAAAACTTTATTAACATAAACTACTTACCAACCCATAGTAAAAGACTTTTTAAGAAGTAATCCTAAATTTATGAGAAACCCTAAATTTCACATTGAAAATGCCTCCAGTGCTACTAAACTATTTGCCTGCAGTTGTCATTACTGTGAAGCTACAGTAATTTTGTTACACACACACAAAAAAAATCCCTCTACTATCTCTCCTGCAATGTCACCAACTATTTTCAGGCACCTTTTCAATGGAACATATGGGCATTGGAATAGACGAGCACACAAAGAAAGCTATACAGAAGTAAACGCCAGTTTCCATGCAACTCATTTTAACGTGAAACTGGGTAACTGAGTAGCTGAAGCAGCAGAGACAGGGCAGGAAGACGAGGCGGGCTGAGTGCTTGCATCACTGGGCCGTGGAGTGCGACGTGCCAAGTGTCAAAACCATACCCCTGGAACAGAACTCATTTCTGCAGAAAATCCTACTCGGGTGCCTGGGCTATGACTACATGAGGCTTCAGCGGTGGTCCCATTTTACAGAAGGACAAAACTACTAATCCCGCTAAGCGTCAGGAGCTGGTGCAGGGATGGGGAGTTCACAGACACAAGCCCAAGGAGAAACTAACATTTCTGTGGGCAGGGGTGAGCCAGGACCCATGAGCATCATTCCTACAGAAGACGATGTCTCTGCCACTTTGAAGGAGAAATCTAAAACTACATAGTCTTTTTTATTGTCCGTTTGAGACTAGAACTGTGCTACCTTACATGCCAGTCAGGCTAAAACAAATCCTTGATTCAAGTCACACTGTCAAGTCCTGAAACCCTGGTGACAGATTCCAGCTGGGTTCACAAAATACAGTAAGACTCCGGATCTGTCCTCCTTTGTCAAATGCTTCCCATGCCTAAAGTTCCACACATAATAGAATTACTCACGTCTGCCATATTCCCAGTGTGACAGAAGCCAACCACAACAGTCCGACAATGAAGAATTTGGGCAAATAGAAAGTCAAACACTTCCTTTCTCCCTAAAAATAAAAAATGGTAAGAAATGAGTTAGTAATTCTGGCAAACCATGAAGTCCTAGAAGTACACACTAGATCAGAGGCACTCAAGTCATTTCTACATCCTTCTGCTGACTGGGGCTGAACACAGATTCTCCAGGAGCAGTTTATCTGCAGGAGCAGCACCAGAGCGTGGACCGAAGGACAGGGCTGAGGGCTGATGCTCACCTGAACCCGTATCCCGTGGTACACGCACAGCCAGAAGAGCAGCAAGGCACAAAGGAACACAGACTGGAAGAGATCGTCCAGCATGCCTGGAAACCAGCTGTTCACCAGGAAGGAGAGGGGGAAGAACGGATCTGGAATGCAACCGGCAGAAAGGCCTGGTGGAGGCAGGCTCACCCCACCCAGCCTGGGGCCTCCGTCCTCTGCGAGGGCAGAACTCAGTCACCCTCTCCTCAGTCGGAGCCAAAGGGAGGTAGCAAACTAAAGGCTGTTTTGTTTTCCAAAAAACCTAAAAGCCAATGAACAGATTGCTCCAGTGATCATTACAGAGTGCCGTCTGCTTCCGCCATCCGCTCCTCCCTGCAGGCCTGGGAATCCCGGGGCTGCGGCTCTGGAAGCAAACGCCTTCTGAAGCAGGGGAGGAGGAACAGACGGCAGTGTTTGCCGCCTTCAGCCAAGTTCCAAGACGGCTGTGTCTGTAGCCCTTCCAGGTTTTAACTACCAAAGCAATCACTTATTCGTGCAAGCTGCCAGGCATCTGCCTCGTCCCGGTACACCACCATGCGCGCGCTCTGGGGGGGATGTGGCCACCTGTTCCTTCAGGGGCTCCCAGGCTCTTCTGGAGACTCTGGGGCCAGACGGGCTCTAGGACACCTTGCAGCTTTAAGCTTTAAAGGGGAAAGCTCCAAAATAAAAATGGGCACCTACCATTGTAAAGCAGCAGCAGAGGCAGAAGAATGGACATCCACTTCTGCTCCATCCCCCAGTCTCGCATGGAAAACTTCCGGAGGGAATGTGCAAACAGGCACTGCAAACCAAATCAGGAACGCAAGTCACTGTTTTTGCTGACACGTCGCTTAGTACCACATTAAGCCTTCCCAGAGTGATGGTCAGCCAAACCTCCCTCCAAGTTACCCTTTGTTGCACCGACGGCTGAGAGCATTAGTGCCGACGGAGATAAGATGGTGAATCACTGGCAAGGAGCTGCGGGTAAGATGATCACAAGCTGCTCTCAGAGTGGCAGGAGAGGGCGGGGAATATAGTGGCTATAACTCCTCTGCCAAAGGGCAGAGCACCCACCCCTCCCACCTCCTCCTGGACAGACTACTTCTAATAGGTCGACCCCACAGGGCCACCCAGGCACCTCCCTGGGGACAGGACACATGCTCCCAGCCATGCAACATCTGCAGATGGCACCAGGGCTCCCCGAACAAAAGCTGAATGAGGCTGGTAACCATGGTCAGAGAATGTGTGTGTTTTCAAACACCTGCCTGAAGAAGCTGTGTTGAGCCATGGGAGTTTCTTTAAAGTACTTTAAAACACTATACAATTTGTATAAAAGACCTGGAGGTTGTTTTGTTTTGATATTTATTTTGTTTTCTTCTGTACTCTAGCATAAGTCAATGATTTTCTAGGCAATTTGGACTTCCCGGGCTGGTGGGCCATTTCTCCCAGTCTATGAGGCTTAGGCTCATTTCTTTGTTTAAGAACATCATGCCCTGGGTTCCAGCTCTTTGGGCCCCAGAGTGTGGCAGCAGACCTTCGGACAACAGAGATAAGTCAAAAAACAGCAAGGATTTCTGCTGCCTGTAGTTCTCCACTCATCTTTAGTAAGTTCTTTAAGGGACTCCCTGGGTGAGGCTGGGACCACCATCCCACAGCTCTCCACAGACTCCACTGCATCCCAGAGCTAAGGATGCATGCACCACATCCCAATGCTGTGTCCTCCCAGCCCACCCACATCCAGGTCCCATGTCACCACCAACTGGCACCTCTCACAGGTCTATCCCTGACAAGCCTATGTCCTTCTGTGTACAGTTAGACTGTGAAGCACAACGTGAGCCTTGGGTGACAACTCGAGTGGCCCCCACCACAAAGGGTGGACATATCTCCGAATGTTACACCTTCCATGTCAGCAAGGAGCAAGCAGCTGATAGGCAGAATGTGGCGCTGAGTACCAAGGCACATACCCTCTTCCTCCAGGATGTATGTATGTAGGTGTGTAGGTGTGTGTGTATTTATTTTCTTCTTCTAGTTTTAAATTCCCAACTTCATGGACCAGACTGGGCCCCTGTGTGATTGCTTTAAGAGTAAGCATCCCCCGCCAAAGTTACAGGGTGCTTGTGGACACTGAACTCAGACCCCAAATGAGCCAAAAGCTTGTACTTCCAAACCCACTCATCTGAGGCTTTCCTCCTGAAAATCCCAAAGACTGAGAGATCTGTTACAATTTTCCAAAGGTAAAACCGCAAGAATGTGCTGTATCTGCCTGTATAAAAAGAAGGTCATTTCAACAAGGCAGGTGATATGGCATTGTCATTGCACTCTGATGAGCATTTACTTAAAAGTTGGGGATTGGGCAGCCCGGGTGGCTCAGCAGTTTAGCGCCGCCTTCAGCCCAGGGCCTGATCCTGGAGACCCGGGATTGAGTCCCATGTCAGGCTCCCTGCATGGAGCCTGTTCTCCCTCTGCCTGTGTCTCTGCCTCTGTGTCTCTCATGAATAAATAAATAAAATCTTTAAAAAATAAATAAATAGAATAAAATCTAAAAGTTGGGGATCTGTCATCACTGTAGTACTACACAGAGGTCCTTACTAACAGATACCATGCTGCTTTTTTTGCATGACAGCATCCTAGCAGAAATACAGCATATTTGGTAATATCAGGTCAGCCCACTGGATGGAACATTTCAGCATTCAGATAAATCTCTCATGTGGTTCACACTTTTTTAAAATTTAAATTCAGGTTAGTTCACATAGAACATAATATTGGTTTCAGGAGTAGAATTCAGTGATTCATCACTTACAGACAATACCCGGTGCTCATCCCAACAAGTGCCATCCTCAACCTCGTCCCCCACTCAGCCTATCCCCCTGCCCACCTCCCTTCCTGGTTTGTTCTCTATAGTTATGAATCTCTTATGGTTTGCTTCCCTGGTTCACACTTTGATAATCATAATTCATAAATTAACTCTGCTTTTGGTAGGGTGCTGATGTGATCATTCAGCAAACGGAACTTACCGTGACAATGAAGGTAAGCACCACAAAGAAAAATCGGAACCAAATTTCCAACTGAGAAAATGCCGGGTCATAAGTCTTCCACTAAAATGTAAAGTAGGAAAATAATTTGAAAAAAAATATGCATCTAAAAGGAAGTACACCAGATTATTAAAATAGTGATCTCTATACAATAAGTAATTTTAAATGTTCATTCTCTTTCCTTATGCCTTCTCACATGTTCTAAAATTTTAACAGTGCATTTTATTTTTATATTAAAGAATGCAGACTTTGAAAATTTTAATCACCAAGAGTTGAAAATAGTTTTAAATAGTTCATACTAATGATAAATCTGGTAGACAAATTTATTCTGTAATTACAACAAGAGCATTTGGCTCTTAAATCTCATATCAAAAAACAATGCTGTTGGGGTGCCTGCGTGGCCCCTGTCAGTTAAGTGTCGGACTTAACTTATTAACTTGATTTCAGCTCAGGTCATAATCTCAGGGTCGTGAGATCGAGCCCTGTATCGGGCTCTGTGCTGAGCATGGAGCCGAAGATTCTCTCTCCCCGTCCTCCTCTGCACCCCCACCCCACTCATACACTCTGTCTCTAAAAAAGAAAAATCAACACTGTCAATCCCCTTATTAGAAAAAGCCATGCTTTCCATGAAAAGAAACAGATTTGGGCAGCCCGGGTGGCTCAGCGGTTTAGTGCCGCCTGCAGTCCGGAGCGTGATCCTGGAGACGGGGGATGGAGTCCCACGTCAGGCTCCCTGCATGGAGCCTGCTTCTCCCTCTGTCTGTGTCTCTGCCTCTGTGTGTGTGTGTGTGTGTGTGTGTGTGTATCTCATGAATAAATAAATAAAACCTTTAAAAAAAAAAGAGAAACTTTTAAAAAAGATTTTATTTATTTATTTATTCATTCATTCATGAGACACACAGAGAGAGAGAGAGAGAGAGGCAGAGACACAGGCAGAGGGAGAAGCAGGCTCCATGCAGGGAGCCCGATGTGGGACTCAATCCCGGGTCTCCAGGATCAGGCCCTGGGCCAAAGGCGGCGCTAAACCGCTGAGCCACCCAGGCTGCCCAAGAGACAGATTTTTAAAAGATGCAAAAATGTGAGTAGGTAGGATGTTCTAAAAAAGATTAAGTGAAACACATAAATATGAATCTGACACCAAAAAGTACAATGGAATTACAGGTGTCGGCTCTATGCTGAGTAGATTCACTCCTATCAAGTGCACACCTAACAGAGCTGAGTTTGCCTGTACCACATCCCAATGGCAGGGAGAAGGCAGCCCTTCCAATCCTGGTCACAAGTCAAATTTATCACCAGACTCCCACAACACTGCACTGCACTAATGAGCCCCATTGTCTTAATGCATGGAATTAAAATAACTTGAGCAATTTAAAAAATCTACTTCAGAACAAAGTTATAGACATTAGATTTACCTAACTTACCTGAAACATTTAAAATACACACAGAGGCACATATACACACAGTTGAAGACACTTGACAGTCAGTGAAGGACAATAATCTCCAGCTGATAAGAGAGAGGTACACCCTCTAGCTGCCCCAAGCCATGGTGGCAAGGTAGCCCAAGCACAGAATCATAAACACACTGCTGGGAGTCCAGGGAGACAATCCACTGGCTGTGATTCAAAGGACAGAGCACTAAGAGGAGAGCTCTGGATACCTGCCAAAGGTGGTCCCCCTCATGTCTCCACCTGAACATTGATCAGGGCATGAGTGTGAGTAAACCACCTGCAGCAGGGGGAAAAGTCCATGAAAGGATCACTGGCACTCACAGAGGGCCAGGAATAGTGCCTTCTCCCATGCGCAGAGAGAAAAACGCACAAAGGTACACTGGGTAGCATATCCCAAATGCTTTTTCCCCAGAGGTGGGAAGAAAGTAGCCTTAGATTTCATGCTGCCGGGATCCCTGGGTGGCGCAGCGGCTTAGCGCCTGCCTTTGGCCCAGGGCACAATCCTGGAGACCCGGGATCGAATCCCACATCAGGCTCCCGGTGCATGGAGCCTGCTTCTCCCTCTGCCTATGTCTCTCTGCCTCTCTCTCTCTCTCTCTCTCTCTCTGTGTGTGACTATCATAAATAAAAAAATAAAAATTAAAAAAAAAAAAAGATTTCACGCTGCCTTGGTCCCACCTAACAAAGTTTAAAAACAAGGCCTAAAAAAAAAATAAAAAATAAAATAAAGCCATTTCCAAGTAACTTGGAAAACATCCCAGAACAAAGTTCAAGGATATTTATAAGAACACAAAATCTAATACCAGTAGTGTCTGGCATTAAATAAAAAATACCAGGGGCGCCTGTGGCTCAGTCTGTTAAGCATCTGATTTTGGTTCAGGTCATGATCTGACAGTCCTGAGATTGAGCCCCACGTTGGGCTCCTTGCTCAGTGGGGAGTCTGCTGCTCCCTCTGCCTCTGCCCCTTCCCCCTGCTCATGCTCTCTCTCTCGCTCTCAAATAAAATCTTTTAAAAACATTTATTAAAAAAATAAAAAATACAGACAAGTGACATTGTGCATGTCAACTACATTCAAGAAAGAACAGGAAAGAAAGAAAAAAAATACATAGTACATTAAAAAAAAAACGAGAAAATCTGAACCATAACAAGTAATCCTAGATCACACAGAATTAGCAGACAAGGACAGCAAGAAGCTCAAGGAAAGTCCGAGCATATGAGGTCGGGACCTGGAAGAGGAATAACAGTGGAACAGACCTTACAGAGATGAGCGAACATGGGGAAGTGACAATAGATATGATTTTAAATGAACCAGATCAAGAGTGAACAGAGAATCAGTAAGCTGTGAGACAACTGCACGTGGCCTAAGAGATGTGTCTTTGACCTCTAGTGGTGGGGGATGGACAAAAGGATAAAAAACAAACAAACAAACAAACAAAAAAAAACGAAGAAATAATGACCAAAACTTTTCTAAATTTAATGAGAACTATGAACTCACAAATTCAAGAACTCAAGGGTCCTAAGAGAAACAAAAAGTACACTGAGGATTTTGGAAGGTAAATCAAATTGTTTAATAAGTAAAAGATAAGTCTTAAAAATAGGCGTAGAGGGGGTGGGAGGGGAAAAGCATCTATTCAGAGGCCAATGGTAAGGAAGGACAACAGATTTCTTGCCAGAAAAATGCCAGCCAGAAGGCATTTTCAAAGTACTGTAGATAAAAGTCACCATGAAATACCACTATACGCCCACTAGGATGGCCAAGATTAAAAACATGACCATACTGGGTGCTGATGAGGATGTGAGGTAACTGGGGCTCTCTCACACACTGCTGAGGGGATGTAAAGCAATACAACCACTTTGGAAGACAGTCTTGTCAGTTTCTTAAACCGTCAAACACACCTCTACCATATGACCCAGCCACTCCAAGGCTAGGTATTTACCCAAGAGACACGAAAGCACATGTCCACATGAAGATTTACTCACAGGTATTCACAATAGCTTTAAAACAGCCCAAAACTGGTGACCATCTAAATGTCCCTCAACAGGTGAAAGGATAAACAGTTTATGCTATATCAACACAGTAGAATATTACTCAACAAAAAGGAATGAACTGATACACCCAACAGCACCAGTTATCTCAAAATAATTATGCTGAGTGAAAGAATTCGAACATATTGTATGACTATGTTTATCTAAATTTTTTTTAGAGCTGTATTTATTTATGAGAGAGAAAATGAGAGGTGGGTGGGGGTCAGAGGGAGAGAGAATCACAAGCAGACTCTGCACTGAGCATGGAGCCCAATGTGGGGCTCGACATCATGACGCTGGGATCACAAACTGAGTTGCAATCATGAGTTAAACGCTTAACTGGGCGAGCCACCAAGGCATCCTGTGTTTACATAAAATTTTTTTTTATTTTTTTTTCAATTTATTTATTTATGATAGTCACAGAGAGAGAGAGAGGCAGAGAGAGAAACAGGCTCCATGCACCAGGAGCCCGATATGGGATTCGATCCCGGGCCTCCAGGATCGCGCCCTGGGCCAAAGGCAGGCGCCAAACCGCTGTGCCACTCAGGGATCCCTACATAAAATTTTAAATAAATACAAATTAATCGGTAGATCAGTGGTGGTTGGAGGATGAGAAGGTAACAGGGGGAAGAGGCATGAGGAAACTTTTAGGCACTGAGGGGTATGCATACTGTCCTTATTATGGTGATTGTTTCCCAGGTGTGTACATATGTCAAAATGGATCAAATTTTATATTTTAAATATAGTGCACTTAAATACAGTGCACGTCACTGTAGGTCAACTGTACTTCGATAAAGCCATCAAACAAAAACCAACAATTAACAATCAATGTTAATGAAAAAGCAAAGATCATGGTGATTAAGGGCACATGAATTTTGAAGTCAGAGACTCCGGATCAAATCTTAGCTCTTCTGTTTTCTAGTTGGGGAAACTAGCTTAATATCACTAACCTTAAGATTTCTTTTCCATAAAATGGGGATACTATTACCTACTTTGCAGAATTATCAGAACATTTAAGTAAGATGAGGTAAAAAAAAAAAAAAAAAAAAGGTTAGCACAGTGCCTGGCATAAAGCACAAGTTCAATAGATAACAGCCACTGTCATAAATCTGAAACATAATGCAACTATTACGACATTGCTATGCTGTTTAAATTTTAAAAGTATCATTTACAAAACAATCATGGTGGCAATTATGAGCACTGATGGGGGAGTAGCAGTGTGAATGTGATATCAAACAGAAAAAAGTATAATATGTATCTTAGTTGAAAAAACAGATTGCAAGGCACAATCAAGAAGACAAAGAAAAAGTGTTAAGCATCAGGAAAAACTTCATAAAATATGTTTAAAGTGACAGTGATGAAAGTGTTTGACCTTTAGGAGAGTCTAACTCTTAAGAAGGAAAATAACTAAGGACTCCCTTTATAAAGGAGAGAGATGCTATCTTAAAGCTTCTGACAGAACAGTATAGAACAACTCACTCACTTTAAAAAAATAACACAAGAAAAGGGGATCCCTGGGTGGCTCAGTGGTTTGGCACCTGCCTTGGGCCCAGGGCGTGATCCTGGAGTCCCGGGATCGAGTCCCGCGT